TCGTGGATAGGATGTTTGGTGAACCGAGCTAGCGTTACTACGATTAAATAAAAGTTGACGAATGCAGCTGTTCTATCACTTCGTACATACCTTGGAAAACCCAAACTTTTTATTTTAGGGATTTTTTTTATCATATATATAAATGTACACATGCATTAATTCCAACCTACCTTCCTGGTAATTAATACCAACCTACCTTGGATAAATGGAAACCTACATACCAAATTTCGTTTAGATATCTCAATTTTTGCTCGAGTTATCGTGTACACGGACGGACGGACAGACGGACAGACAGACATGGCTTAATCGATTTCTCTTTTCATTCTGATCATTTATGTATACATTTGTCTATATCTATCTCGATTCGTTTTGGCTGTTACAAACAACCGTTTTGTGAACAAAATTAATATACCCTTGTGCACAAGTGCCCTCGGGTATAAAAATTGTATAATTTTTGTCACGAAATTGATGTCATGAATTTTGTGTTTTTAGTTCAGCTTTCGTCACTCGAAAATTTTATCTCAAAGACGTGTTTTATTTGATACATACAACAATAAAATACTAAATCTTACTACAAATATCGAGAAAAATTCTAATCCAGATAAAGGTTACACATACAAATATATTAAAAAAAAAAATAGAATTCTTGTCTTATTTATTCATTTGATCTTTGTTCCTATTTTTTCATTTATTCAACAAATATGCTTTTACTTAGACACATTTTTTTAATTAAAATAATAAATACGTAATCAGCATCCAATATTTCTAAAAACCTTCTTCAAAACACCTACATGTCAGCTCAGCGAGCACTGGGCAAACACCAGGACATGCGCGATCGCAATGTCCTGCTGGGCGAGGGTGGACACACTCACGGGTCTCTGTCCAATTGGTAAATATGCACGCAGTAGGGCTGAGAATACTAGCGAACCCCGCTTGTCGAGGTTGCATGGAAGATAACGAGGTGGAATCACCTCAACACCACCTTCTTGGGTGACTAGCGTTTTCGAGGCTAAGGTTGAAGTACCTTGGCTCTCACATCCTCAATAGCGCCGAGGAGCTCTGGGGCATTGAGATTAGCCGAATTAGTAAATATATAATCGGCTCAGGGCGATTTATCGATTAAGTATTGGGTGCCGGTTAAGATTGTGGTATCACAAAGGACAATCTAATAACTGTCTAAGTGAGCCTCGCATACACGGGGTTGCCTCCTAACCTAACCTAACCAAAACACCTAGTCCATTCGTAAAACAACTGTTTTTCTTACGCCTTAAAGATTATAATAATATTTAACATATATGTATCAGTCCCTGCAATTCATTTAGGGTGCCTTGTAGACTTAACACTACTCGTACAACGCTTATTTGCTGCAAAACTTAAAAGTCCACAAAAAGGACTGGTGGTCCTATGATGTGTAAAAATTGATAATGATAATCATAAGTTCTATCTTATAAGATAATAACTATTGCAGTTCCTTCTACTCTGCTTAGTAACTCTAAAATTATTTAAGTTTTACTACATTATTATGCAACTTTTAAAACAATTATTTACATGTTTCTATTAATTTAAACCATTACGTTTTTCAGGACCAGAAGGCAGCAATCTTTTCATCTATCATCTACCCCAAGAATTCACCGACACTGATCTCGCATCCACATTTCTACCATTCGGTAATGTGCTTTCCGCCAAAGTTTTCATCGACAAACAAACCAATCTGTCTAAATGCTTTGGTTTCGTCTCCTACGATAATCCCCATTCGGCCAGTGCAGCCATTCAAGCCATGCATGGTTTCCATATCGGATCCAAACGTTTAAAGGTGCAACATAAGCGTTCAAAGGACGCAGCAAAGCCATATTGATATAACGTATTACATAAGAAGAAGAAATCCACGATAGCTTATTTTTATAAATAAACCAAAGGAATATACCGTCGCTGCGCCAACAAAAACAGTTATGTGTTTTTTAATAACTTTTCAGGAGAGCAAACAAACTAATTCCGGGTGTCAATAGACAAAATTTTGCAAATGTTTTATTAAAAAAAATATATATATTAAGAATAGTTGATACTTTTCTAGGGCCAGTTATTCAATCTTCCTATTGGGTTGTATGCGGAACTTTTCGGCCGGTAAAATCAAAAGGCAAAATTTATTTTTCCTTCTCCCTCCTACGCGTTTCGGCGTCCTTCACGCCTTCATCAGGGAGTCTGATATTTACTGAAAAACACAAAACATAAAAGCACAACAATTAGACATAAATATATAAAAGTATTGCATACTTATATATGTACAATTTGCTACTGGACAGACACTTATATTGTAGTTACATATAAACTAACAAAAAACTTCACTCATCACTCGACATCCACTTAGGGTGGCCAGATGCGCTGATTTAATCAGTACATGTGCTGATTTTTTTCTATTGTACTGATTTTTAAGAGCCAGAAATCAGTACGCAAAATCTACTGATTTTTTGAGTTTCTACTAATTTTGTACTGATAAATACTTTTGTAAATTGGTGTAATTGACATTTGCTTGAGGTTTACATGTTCAAAACAATGGTTTTTGACAACGCATACGTGTCAGCAGATTGAAACCATTACTAAAAAAGGTGTCAGCTTGCAATTGTTTCATTTCCTAGGATTTCACAAAATAACAAACTGTTTGGATTCAACCCAACCCAACTTCACGATTTGCAGGTTTTACTGAATTTACAGGAAAGGCTGGTTTCGTCATTAATAAATCTTATGAAAGGTGGTGGTGAGTTAATCATATATTAAGTACACTGAGAAGATGACAATAAGAGATAATGGGCCTTATGCATAAAAAGTGAGCTTAAGCTCAGACTCAATTTTTGCACTGAAAGGGTGAGCTCAAGCTCAAGAATTTGTACTGAAAATCGAGTCGGAGCTTAAGCTCACTTTTTATGCATGAGGCCCAATGTTTTGATTATAATTAAACATCCACTGAGAAATCGGCTGGCAGTATGTCAAACTTAAGACGGCTACTGCTACGGTGCAATGTAAGTTCTAAAAATTTTGAAAAGGTACAAACTACCTTGGATATGATATATGTAGCTTTGAATGTGAATGTTGTATTTTATAAGCACACTAACTAAATATGTTTTAAATTTGTAGCTTAAAATATGCAAACAGATTCTGACTCGAGCTCGTCTTCTTCTGAAACTGAATTGGCTACAATTTGTTTTTAAATTTTTTCAATTTTTATAAATTTTCTAGAAAGTTCTTTAGTAAGGTGTTAAACATCGGGTCTTTGCTTCAAAGTAAAATTTTATTGTGGATTCCAATAGAATACCTATCCAGATATATTATTTGTATGGCGAGATTTTTCTTTAAGGCAACAAACCCCTAGAAATGGGCGTGGTCATTGCAGGACTAAAGTTAGCAAAACGCAGATTTTATTGCGGATTTCGGAAAAATATCGCTTCGTTAACAATATTTGTTCCACAACTTTTTCAATGCATATAGATATTCTGGCGAAATTTACAATAAAGTCAAAATTTTTGAATTTCAGTTTTAATATAGCCACGCCCATTTCTATAATATTATTTGATTGAAAAAGTTGTGGAACAAATGTTGTTAACGAAACGATATTCTAGCCGAAATCCGCAATGAAATCTGCGCTTTGCTAACATTAGTCCAACAATTTCCAGGCCCATTTCCAGGGATTTGGCGCCTTAAATAAAAGTCTTGCCGTACAAATGTTATATCTGGATAGGTATTCTGTCAGAATCCTCAATTAAATTTTACTTTTTGCAAAATCCCGATGTTTAACACCTTACTAAATATATTTCAATATAAGTTTTCGAATACAAATTACAATAAACCATCTCGCCATAAAGAAAGATATTTTAAAAATATTTCTTGAAAAATGCAATTTTTTAACCACGTATTTTATAAAAAATTAAACAAGGATTACAATAGTGTAATTTCAAATCCCTAATATACTGGTATTCACTATGCAAATCAACTTCAAAAAGTCCAACTGTTAATAGAAAAGTTAGCTTAACGACAATCTTGACTAGCTTATATAAAGAAGTGTTAAGCCCGTTACCTAAGCTTTAAAACGACGTTAAGATGAAGTCCCTATGATGAGTAAAACCCGAGATATAACGATTTAAAAAGTACATGATTAGTTCGAATCACGCAGAAATGCAAACTTTGACAGATTATACCTCCGAAGAAAAAAAAGAAAAAAAAATTCCTCGAACACGTTTAGCTTATTTTATGTATAGAACCTGAAAACCCGTGGCGTTTATTTGGTTTTGAAACTCCAATAAATCACCAGTGTTTTTATTTGAAAAACGAGAAAAAATAAAAGGCCAGGCTTTAATATACTTGATATAAATGTATGGTGTTGGCGGTTTATTTATTATATTAAAATTGAAGTTGGGTTACAATGTTAGCTTGATAATTATGCAGGGGTGGTGGCTGGATCGCGTCCGGTGTCCCCCAAGTGCTTGCTACAAGTAGCCGAGCTCGTTTTTAATAGAAATAAGCTTATACGCCAAGCAGACAACTGGTTGGAGGGGAAACTTTACGAAACTTTATTCAAAACGGAAAAAGGACATTGTTGTTGTTGTTGATGTTGTAGCGGCTACACCAACGCCGCCCAGATTGGTTGAAATCTTAGTAGCGTTGCCGTCAAGCTCCACTAACGGAAGCCCTAAGAAGCGTGCAGCCTCAATGGGGTCGGCCCACACCTAACCTACACAAACGCCACAAAGGCGTTAGAGTTGTCGGATTTTCCGAGCATAGGAAGAGATGTTTCGAGTCGTGGGGTATCTCTCCGCATGCCGGACACTCATCTGGCACATCTGCGTCTAATATGCTCAGGTATGAGTTTAACCTGCTGCAGTAGCCAGTGCGAATTTGAGCTATTGTAGCCTATTGCCTTGTCAGCAACGTTTCTTTGTCTTTGCTCCAAGTACTCTCGGCTAGCGACTTGAGGACCTTGTTGCGGCTGTGTACTTTGCCGACAATAGCGGTTGTGTGCGCTGTGAAGGATAGAACACTGTCGAAGGTTACTCCGAGTATTTTGTGGTTATTCACCGTCAGAATTGGTGTATCATCGACGTAAATTCCTAGCGGTAGTCTGACCTGCTTTGTCCAGGTGGTGAACAAGGTCACAGAGGATTTTGTAGAGGAGAGGGTTAGGTGCCTAGCAGTGAAGAAGCGAGAAAGCTCGGAGAGATACCCGTTTACTTTCAAACACAAGTCATCAATTCCATTCCCAGATGCCATTATCGAACAATCGTCAGCATAGGAGACAATCGAGACTCCCTCTGGTGGTTGAGGGAGCTTTGTAATGTAGTAGTTAAACTATAATAGGGAAATGACACCACCTTGTGGAACCCCCTGTTTTATTTTTCTAGGTTTACTCGATTTGTCATTAAACATTACTGACGAGTGTCGACCACTTAGATAATTCGCCGACCACCGTTTGAGCCTCTGTGGGAGAGAGGAGGCCTTTATGTCTTCTAGCAGCGTGGAGGGGCTGACGATGTCAAACGCCTTTGACAGGTCCAACGCTACTAGAATTGTTCTCTCACAGGGACGGTTGCGGTTTAGGCCACGTGTTATCTGCATGTTTATGGCGTTAAGTGCTGTTGTTGTACTGTGAGATTTACGGAAACCATGCTGATGCTTCGCTGGGTTCAGGTGGTTCGTGAAATGCAGGAGTAGCAAGGCCTCTAGTGTCTTCGCTACCGGGGAAAGGAGTGTTATCGGAAGATAAGATTATCCTTTGTTGGCTGGTTTTCCCAGTTTGAGCAGTGGAACCACTCTCCCCATCTTCCAGATGCCTGGGATGATGAGAGTGGCCATTGACAGATTGAGGACCTCCGTTAGGTACGCTACTCCCGCAGGCCCCATATTTTTCAGCATCAACATGCATATTCCGTCGGACCCCATGGCTTTGGAGGCTTTCGCCTTCCCGATGGCTACCTGAACTTCACCGCTAGTGAAAGCAGGAGGGGCAAAAGTTGTTGGCAATTTGAGCCTTCTGGTCACTCGATGCTTGGCTTAGTCCGCCGGAGGTTGCAGTATGAACTGCCGGCTAAAATAGCTCGCGCATCGCTCCGGGTCCGACGAAGCACGGTCGCCGAAAGAAATTTCGACCCTGTCGTCGTGCTTCGTCGTATTGGACAGTGGCCTCACGGTTGACCAAAGCTTACTCTCACCAGAGGCGAAGTTACAACCTTCAGACGCTCTTCCCACTTTTTCCGCTTATGTACGTTCACAAGCTCCCGAAGCTCCGCGTTGAGATCCCTGATACGGGGATTTCCGGGATCGGCCTGACGAAGATTGTCACGCTCATCGGCTAGAACAGCCGCTCAGCGGGGAAGTTTGGACGGGGTTCCGTAATGCATCCTGCCGGTACGAAGCGAGCTGCAGCAGCAGTGACAACCCTGCGGAACCACCAAGGTGGACGGCGGTTGGTGTGGGGAGCACAGCGAAGGTGCTCTCAGTAAATTCCGCGAAGCCTTTCCAATCAGGTTTAGAAAAGTTGATATAGGTCGGGTGTTCCGCGGAAGCAAAGTCGGGTGGTTTTTTTTTTTTTTTAACGGACGTTGGGATAGGGAAACTATCCATCAAGTGGCCCGTGCGAAACTCTCCAAAAGCCACCTCCCCGGAACCACTCGCGTATTACATCGGGGTGAGGCCGTAGCATAAACATGCCCCACGTCATACCGCCCTTTCCATAATTCCCCATCCACTAATGTGATTAGGGGTTCAGGAGCGTTTTGGTGTTCACAGGGTTTACCTGCAAAGAAATGCAAAAAATAAGATAAAAGAAGAAATTTTGAACACAAGTAACTTCAACTATTTCCTCTTTTTAAGCGGCGGCGTTGCTCTCTGATCCTTAGCTTTGTCATTATTTCTCTGCTTATATTCTTTAATGTGCCCCATACTTTTTTATCATTCAACATGT